TCTGATTTCGGTGTTGACCATCTGGTGATGTCCATGTGTAGAGTCTTCTCTTGCATTGTTGGAAGAGGATGTTTGCTATGACCAGTGCATTCTCTTGGCAGAAGTCTATGAGCCTTTGCCCTGCTTCATTTTGTACTCTAAGGCCAAACTTGCCTCTTACTCCAGGTGTTTCTTGACTTCCTACTTTTGCACTCCAGTCCCCTATAATGATAAGGACATCTTTTTTGGGTGTTAGTTCTAGAAGGTCTTGTAGGTCTTCGTAGAACCATTCAATTTCAGCTTCTTCAGCATTACTGGTTTGGGCATAGACTTAGATTACTGTGATATTGAATGGTTTTCCTTGGAAACAAATAGAGATCATTCTGTTGGTTTTAAGATTGTACCAAAGTACTGCATTTCAGACTCTTGTTGACTATGATGGCTACTCCATTTCTTCTAAGGGATTCTTGTCCACAGTAGTAGATATAATGGTCATCTGAGTTAAATTCATCTGTTCCAGTCCATTTTAGTTCACTGATTCCTAAAATGGCAATGTTCACTCTTAGCATCTCCTGTTGGATCACTTCTAATTTGCCTTGATTCATGGACACTATTTCAAGTTCCTAATTCAAGAAACATTCCAGGTTCCTATGCAATATTGTTCTTTACAGCATCGAACTTTACTTCCATCATCAGTCGCATCCACAACTGAGCGTTGTTTTTGCTTTGGCTCCATCTCTTCATTCTTTCTGGAGTTATTTCTCCACTGATCTCCTGTAGCATATTGGGCACCTGCCGACCTAGGGAGTTCATCTTTCAGTGTCCTATCTTCTTGCCTTTTCACACTGTTCATGGGGTTCTCAAGGCAAGAATACTGCAGTGGTTTGCCATTGCCTTCTCCAGTGGACCACATTTTGTCAGAACTCTCCACCATGACCCATCCATCTTGGGTGGCCCTGCATGGCGTGGCTCATAGTTTCACTGAATTAGACAAGGCTGTGGTCCATGTGATCAGATTGGTTCTTTTACTGAGATTGTGGTTTTTCAGTCTGTCTGCCCTTGATGGATAAGGATAAGAGGCTTATGGAAGCTTCCTGATGGGAGAGACTGACTAAAGGGGAAACTGGGTCTTGTTCTGATGGGCTTGGACCAAGTTCAGTAAATCTTTAATCCAATTTTCTGTTGATGGGCAGGGCTGTGTTCCCTCCCTGTTGTTTGACCTGAGCCCAAACTATGGTGGAGGAAATGATATGTGCATTTATGTTGTGTCTTAGATTCCACCTGTAAGTGATATCATAATGTATTTGTCTTTCTCTTTCTGACTCACTTCACTTAGCATGATAATCTCTGTGTTGTTGCAAAATGTTGTTT